TTAGGTGACAATCCAAAAATTGATAATATATCTTTCGCTGGAGTTGTTGGCGATATATGAGTCGAAGTCGCCTGGTCCCGATAATATTCCACCCAACTTACTGAAGATGCTTGGCGAGGAAATAGCCAAGACACTTCCTATGCTTCTCCAGACCTCGTTTAAAGCTGGCTGTTTGCCCACCGATTGGAAATCTACACGGATCCTACCGTTGTATAAAGGCGGCAGAAAGGTTTCAGCAAACAATTACCGGACGATCAGTCCCACTCCGATCTGCTGCAAAATTAAGGAAAGAGTAATGAAGCGAGAGCTGAGGTGCCTCTTAGAGCAGCGTAACCTACCATCAGCATGGATTACATAGAGACAGCTCCTGCACGACGAACTTGCTCTACTGGTTGGAATTTTGGACCAGGCAGTTGATGGAAGAAATCCGCTTAATGTAGTCTATATTGACTTGAAGAAGGCATTCGATGGTGTCCCACACCAACTACTCCTACACAAACTCAGCCGAATAGGTGTTTGAGGAATTCTCTTAAGTAGATTCGAAGCTTCCTACTTGGCCGCTTCCAAACTGTCCATGTCGGTGCCCAGCAGTCGGCGGAAGTTTCGGTTGAAAGCGGTGTTCTCCAAATCTCTGTCCTTCGCCCTACGCTGTTCACTATGTACGTCAACGACTGCGTCTGTGAACTGGACTTAGATGTCGCTATGTTTGCCGATGATATTAGGACTTTGAGCGTCACCAGAAAGGCAGCTGATGAAGAACTTTTGCAGGCAAAACCAAGCCGACTTCAAACTCGGTCGCACAGCTGACTTTTGTCGTTTAATAAGAACACGTGCAGTATCCTACGAGTTGGCCGACCCAGCTCTCAGAATCCTTATTTTTACTAAATGAATGGCACCCAACTGCAAGAAGTGGACGCACAGAAGGACTTGAGACTGAGGATAACGACGTCGCTCAAGCGCTCCCTGCACTTTGCCAAAGTAGACAAGCTTGCGATTTTCAGCCTGTACTTTGTCAAACTGGCCTTAGCTGCCTTTGATGAAGACTGCTTCGCTAAGGTCTTCGGAACATCTGTTCGCTATCCTAGCCTGAAGACACTGAATCAAGAAAGACCACAATACGCTCCAAAATGTTCAAAAGCGTGCAACAAAACTTGTCACTGGACAGGACTCACTACCCAATGAAACATATGTGCAATCTTAATCGATTTGTTTTGAGTTACAGGCAGCTACGTAGGGTCCTGAAACAGACCTTTCGTATCGTGCGCGGTCGGGACTGTTAACTTCTACCTGGTGCCTTCGTCCTGTTAGCAACAACTATGAACTTGAGAGTTCATGCATTCAAACGATGTGTAACTGGGGCCAGGCTGGACACACGAAAGGTATTAATCTGTAGCAGAGAGGGCTAAACCTCGAACGCTCTGTCCCTTGATGTTTTTTATCTCTGCTTCAGGTGAAGTATTTAAGGAGGGGCTAGATTGCTATATCCCTGCCCACTCTAACAGCAGCCGATATCTGTATTCTTGCCGAAGGCAGAAAATTCGTATTCTTATAGTATTACTTGCTACACTTGAGTAATATATATTTGCAATTATTTTGTGCCATGTTCATCTCCTATGCACGCATCTCCATAATGTCGACCACCAATGGATTATTGACGATCGTGACAGGTTCTCCTGTTTCCGTCACCTTCTCGGCAGACTCGGAAACTAAGAAAGGTGTAACGTGGCCAACTTTCCGGCATCTCGGGGATGATTTCGTGACCTCTCCGACCTCCTCCTCGATGTTACCATAAGTGTACTGATGACATCCTTGATGGGCTTCCTTGTCCTGCCTCAAATGGTCTCATCAACATGACCCTTCTAACTCGTGTGCATTTTCCCCCTATGAGCGAAAGTTTTCTCTCTCTCAAATCCCATTTAAAACCCCTATAGTTTCGAGAAATGCGCAAGGAATTTTCTCACTATCTGCTCTTTTTGATTTCGTCCTACCTAATGTTTCATGCCATATAGCGCCGCCAATGAGCCAAGGTATTATATTTATACAATTATACTACTCGTGACGAGTGAGTTGTTGTGCATGTCTTATATTTTCCACTAACTGACGACTACTCACTTTCGCCTGTATTCGGGTAAATGAGCACTGTTTGAATTTTTCCACTGTACGGATTCATTTCTAAGTCACTGTATCACCAACAGATAGCTTAGAGGCGTTTGTCTCTCTTCCTTTTAATGAAAGCTGAACTGAACCCCGATTACGAAGCGAAGATGGACACCAGTATTTAGAGAATGTTTGTATCTAGACAAAAGGCATGCGTCTCACCTCACAGTGTGGGCCATTCAAGTGTACCGACTGTCAGCCTTTCGGCGGAAGCTTTTTATTGGATTGGTCAGTTTGTTTAACTGTGACTGTTCGTATACCACACAGAATCCGCAGCCAACGAGTCTGCAACCGCGATTTGAAGCGTTATACATTATCGAAGTGGCAGGAGAACTAGATACCATTATTGTGCACGCGCGGGACAACCCAAAACCCCAAAACAAATGCTAGCTTACAAACATGGACTCGCCGAGAGAATCAGCGGTTTACCTATATGAAATTAGTAAAAGGAGGACTCCGAGTAAGCGGAGTTAAGGGCATACTACAAATGCCAAACCAAGGCTGCCGATTTACCAATTTAAGTTACTAGGTCTGATGTGCAACAGGAAAATTCAGTTAAGCAAAGCAGAAGCAGAGCAGACAAAAAGGCAAGCTGTCTTTTGCTGGACGTTGGAGATACTTCGGTAAGAATACTTTAAGTCAACAATTTTCATCGCTCGGTGCTGCGGGAAGGGGTATGCAGTAGACCATCAGTGATATTCTTGCTTTTTAAATCACCGTTTGCACTGAGTTTTCGTAACGAACGAACTCAGCCTAAAAGTGCATAACGAAATAAAAAAAGTGGTAGTTGGAATTATTTTAGCATTGTGTACACGAAAAGAGTAGATATTAAGTCGGATGAGGAAAAAAATTGAAAAGGCGGAACCTCATTCTATGACTGTACACGAGTATTGCGAATGCTCATATATCTCTGGTTCTGCTCTCATTGCTTAATTTACAGTATCCACATAGTTCGTAGCATTATGATGCACCCATCGTTCTCGCAGTGGTAGATATAGGACTTTCATTCATTTAAACCCGTGTGAAAAACCCGGCGTTAAAATATATCGCAAATGTAACAAACTGGCACACTGGCTGAAGAGGCCTCCACCTATTAAATGTTAAGCAATAATGCGGTTGACGTTTTCCGTAAAAGGTCCATGAAAATAATGCGCAAAAAGCAAAACCAGACCGCGTTAATATACTACGTTCTATGTACAAGAATTATCTGATTTAAAGCGGGGAGTTTCAGAGAAACAGCTATTTAAAATGCATTGTCGGAAATTTTTGCTCATCATCCCCGGAAGAGGAAGAAGAGGGGCAGATTGCATCGCTCTTCAAAATATTCATTTCCCGGCATGTGAAGTGCATGGACTGACTGGCAGTGGCCTCGGTAGTAAAGTTTTTGCGGTATTTATAAACCATTTAGCACTTTGTATTTGGTTTGCTATGGTGCGTCTTTCTAATGCGCAATGCGACAACGGAATAAGTATAGAAGAACAAAATTGATGCTTTCCTGCCATATTCACAATGAAACTTGCAGTCAACTAATTTCCTTCTAACAAAAAACAGACCACGTAAACCCATCTACACATGCTAAGTGCAGCGTTCTTAAATTCAGTATATTGGACGAAACGTTTAATGCAGCAACCAGAAAGCCTCGGATCTACAGACCCTGACATCCTTTATCACTTAAATTAAAAGAATCTCTGTTATGGTTAACGCATGCAGCCGTATTCCGATCGCTCGACGTCCCTGCAGATGGTCGTGATACTCGTGTCCGTTTTCTCGTCAAACGACTGAGCCAGCCAGAATGACAGAGCCTGGGTTTTTGGCTCTGCCTAAAGAACATCAAGTTGCGCGATTACTAGCCAGCTATCCTTATAACCGAATGGTCTAAAGCTGGTAACCCGGAAAATTCTTATCAACATAATTTGCAGAAAACATGACTAATAACCATTTTTTTAAATGATAAATTTCAACTCAAATATCAATATCAACGTTCGGACCGAAGCTGAAAATGTTTGTGTTAGAAAATGTGCTCAACGTTGGCACATTGACTTCTCATTCAGTTGCAAGACTAAGCTATTAGGGTTTTGGAAAAGATAGGAGATCGCCCTGAGTGGGTGCTAGTTAAATGAAGAGAGACGCATACTGTGACCGAATTATAACGCGTTATGTTACTGCAATACAATACTCGTAGACCGGTCATATAAATCCCTG